TAAGTTTTTTCTATTTTTAATGTGACACATACTGTTTGATTTACTTTAATTATGTAAGAAAAAGGGATGGGTTAGTAACATTTTAAAATAGTACTGTTTGGGCTTGGCTGATGTGGCTCAATGGTTGAGTGTTGACCTGGGAACCAGGAGGTCATGGTTCGATTCCCAATACCTGGGTTGCAGGCTCAATCCCTAGTGTGGGGCATGCAGAAAGCAGCTAATTAATGATTCCCTCTCATCAGTGATGTTTCTCTCTCCTCTCTCTCTCTCTCTCTCTCTCTCTCTCTCTCTCCCCCCCCCTCTTTCTCTCTCTCTCCCTCTCCATTCCTCTCTGAAATTAATTTAAAAATGGTACTGTATCTGGTTTGGGGACTGATGTGGATTAAAGTATAAATTAAAATTTAATTACTTGCTACACCATCAGGAATTGACTTTCACAGCTGTTTAGAATTCCTGCATTTCACAGTTTAAAAATCAACTGGTTCATTATATAATTGTTAAGTTGTAATGATGATCTGAAAGGAGTTTTTAGGCTGTTATTTGCAAGCACTTTCCAAGTGACACATTTTTATTAGATAAAAACCAAACTAGATATGATAATTACTATGTTTTTTCCCCTTTTTTGTTTATTTGTTAAGCAATTCAGACATTTTAATGAGCTTTACAAGGATTTTTATATATGACTTGTGGATCTGGTAAAGATAATCTTGAGGCAAATTTGAATAAATATGTTCTTCTTAATAAATTATATGCTAACATCAACATTTATTACTTTATTTCTTAAGTTAAAGTCCCCTTTTTCATCCCCAAAATGTGGTTTAAAAATATTTTAAAAATGATATTATGGTTGAAACCAGTGTTGTTTGGACAAGTCACATCTATGTACTAACCACCACACTTGCCTATTAGGTTGTGTATGGGGGCTTTAAATTATGCTGTTATCACTGCTACTTACACCTTTGCAAACTCTGTGTGTTCACATGTCACCAGTTAGAACCATTGGTTTATACCAGCCGTGGGCAAACTACGGCCCGGGGGCCGGATCCGGCCCGTTTGAAATTAATAAAACTATTGAAATAAAAGACCGTACCCTTTTATGTAATGATGTTTACTTTGAATTTATATTAGTTCACACAAACACTCCATCCATGCTTTTGTTCCGGCCCTCTGGTCCAGTTTAAGAACCCATTGTGGCCCTCGAGTCAAAAAGTTTGCCCAACCCTGGTTTATACCCATTGGTCTTAAATTTTGAGGTTCTCAAACTTTAGTGAGTGTCAGAATCAAATGGAAAAATTGTTAAAATACAGATTGTTGTTTCCCACCCTCAGAATTCTCTAATTCAGTAAACGTAGGAGGTCCAACAATTTGTGTCTCAACAAATTCTTAGATGATGTTTATAATGCTGGTTCCAGTACCACTGAAGAACCACTGTTCCACATCCAGACTATTGCAGTATGCATTCCCTTTCTCAGTTCCATGCCTTTGTTTTTCTTCTCCTGTAATGTCCCTCACCTCCTGTCAGTCCCCACACCATCCTCTGAGCTCTACTTATCAAAACCCTACCTGTTCTTCAAAGCAAAATTCCTGCCAATTTCTCTGAGAAGCCTGTTTTCCCCAGAGCTCCCCATGTTGAGACTCTGTGGAACAGCAGGATGGATGCTTGCTCAGGGTGCAAAAACTGAGTGCAACCTATGAGCTAGTCTCTAGGGAAAATGCTCAGGACATAAAGCTGTGTCAGCAACAGCCTTTCCCTCAGAGAACACCTTGTTTTTGTGTCTCATTCTCATTGGCTGAGTTTAAAACTCCTTGATTGTAAAAATTATGTTGTTAACCTCTATATCCCCAAAATTGCCTAGTACATATTTACACATTCAATAAGGTTACTGCTTACCTTAATTGACTCATGAAAAATATTTACTTATTTGATAAATACTCATGGAATGTGCCATGATGAATTATAGGGACGTGATCCCATCCTTCATAATAATAATGACAATCATGATGATTTATTGAGTGTTTTAATTTGTTAACTCTTTTAAACCTCAAAACAAGTTTATATGGCAGGTACTGTAATTACCTTAATTTTAGATCAAGAAAGTTTAAGTAATCTGCTGCAGGTCACATAGCTAGAAAGAAGATAAACCAGAGTTTAGAGCCCTGGCAAGGTATCCCCAGAGCTCATGCCATTTACCATGCTCCTATAGGTGAGGAAACATATTCTAGAAAAGGTGGTGGACAGTAAAGAGGAATGAATTAAATACAACCTCACCTGTTCTATGAATGAGAAGTATAGGATGCCCTGGTATTGTATGACAAGAGGAGCAAATCTACTTCTTGGAGATTGCTCAGGGAAGGCTTTTTCATGAAAAAGATTTCTAAGATAAGACCTGAAGCATGAGCAGGAATTACAAAAGCAAAGGGAGACAGTAAAGTGGTGTTACAAGTCAAGGAAAGGACATGAGCTTAGCTGGAAGTGGGTATGAAATACTTAAGGAACTGAAAGAATGCTTATGTATAAAAAGGTGCAGCTGAAGAGAAATGCTGGGGCAAGAACAGAGACTTGAGATCCTAAGAAGGATTCTGAAATCCACCCTAAGAGCAATGAGAAGCCACTGATGTTGTCTATGTAAGTCAACTGTGTGATGGATATACACAGATTAGAAGGAAACATGTACAAATGTGTGTGGTGACTGGTAGGCTACTGCTATAGTCCAGATAAGAGAGAAATGTAGCTTATATTAGGATTTTGGCAGTGGAAAGAGAACAAAAGGAATTGCTTCTAGTAAGATTGAAGAAATAAAATAAAAATCAGCTTTAGCTGGTTTGGCTCAGTGGGTACAGAATCAGCCTCTGGACTGAAGGGTCCTAGTTTCAATACCAGTCAAGGGCACATGCCCAGGTTGCAGGCTCAATCCCCAGTAGGGTGTGTGCAGGAGGCAACCAATCAATAATCTCTCTCATCATTGATGTTCCTCTCTCTCCCTCTCTTTTCCTTTCTGAAGTCAATAAAAATATATAAAAAATGCAATACAATAAAATAAAAAATCATTGGTTAGCTTAATCAATGAGGGTTAAGGGAGAAGTCCTAGCAAGGACTCTGATTTCTGTCATGCAGAGGGATATTACAGAGTGTTTGGAGGGTGACTTTTAAATTGAAAGCTGAGTGATAAGAAAAATAACCAGAAATGTAGAGATAATGGAGGGAAAATTGCAGATAGTGGTAAGAGCAAGTGATTTTGGGGGAAGCTTGATGTGTGTGGAGAAGAGGGAGAAGGCAGCACAGCTGGGGTCAGTGAGAGAGGTAGAGTGTGGAGAAGGGCAGAAAAGGGGCCTTGGACACAGGGCCCTTCCAAGTGGCACAGACTTGTGGGGCAAGGCTAAGAATTCAGAATTATTCTGAGTGAAATGGAGAGTTTGAGACAGGACAGATATATACATGTATATATTTAAAAATTGTTTTAGCTACTATATAGATAATCCTATCTAATAAAAGAGAAACATGGAAATTAGCATACGACTGCTACCCTTTCCTTTGGCTAATCAGGGGTGATATGCAAATTAACTGCCAGCCAAGATGGCGGCCGGCAGCCAGGCAGTTTAAACTGAACATGAGGCTTGCTTACTTCAGTGACGGAGGACTCCAATGTTCCCCGCCTGCCTTGGCAGCCTCTGAG